TTATTAGTTTGAAGCCTGCTACCCATTAATTTCATTTGGTGTCCTCTAGTCCTTCTATTATGGGAACTAATGAAGAACTTTTCTTTATGCACCCTCTCCACACCACTCACGCTTTTATAGACCTCTATCATATCCCCCCTCAGTCTCCTCTTTTCTAAACCCCTGTTCCAAACCCCTGATCATTTTAGTTGCCCTTTTCTGAACCTTTTCCAAGGCCAAAATATCTTTTCTGGGGTGAGGAGATCACATCTGTACACAGTACTGAAGACATGGCGTACCATAGTTTGATACTTCCCCTCCTCTTCCTTCCCCTGGCTTCCCCCTTCCAACTCCCTCCTCCCAGGTTTCCTCCTCCCCACTCTCACCCTCTCCCACCTCCTTTTCCCAGACTCCCTGAGTTTTGTTCAATAAAGAGCGTTTCTATTTTTGAACACACACGTGTCCTTTATTTTGTACATCAGGAAGGGGGGCTAGGAAGGGGTAAGTGGAAGGAGGTGAGGGAGGAATGGGGTACGAGCCCCCAATGGGGAGGACTGGGGTGGCTCTGCGGGCTCCTCAGGGTGGAAGCTCTCCTGCAGCCCCCCAATTGACCGCCCCCCCGATGGCAGCGTGCGGTAAGTGCAGCCAGGCTGATGGCCAAGTGCTATGATGTGCTGAGTGTGGGCATTCAGGGCATTCCAACCCAGGACTGCTTTGCTGTTCCTCATTGAGTTAGACAAGCGAACAGGGAACCCCTGAGAACTGTCTGTCCAGGGTGGGGGTTTGGTCCCTTTAAGCACACCTCTCGGCTAGCCTGAGATAGCAGCTCCACGCTCTAAGTCCTAATCTGATGCCCTGCCGGCACTGCTTCCGGCCATCCTTAACCTCGGTTCAGGGTCCACTCAATGTAGACATGCTAGTTCGAATTAGCAAAATGCTAATTCCAACTAGTTTTTAGGTCTAGATGCACTAATTTGAATTAGCTTAGTTCGAATTAACTAATTCGAAATAAGTTAGTTCGAATTAGTGCTGTAGTGTAGACATACCCTAATTTATTATTGGTGATCTGTACTGCGATATCCAAATTTACTATTGGTGATCTGTACTGTGATATCCAGGAAATGGATCTCTCATGTAGAATGGTCCAGGCTGAGACTGATGGTGGGGTGTAGGTTGTTAAAGTCTCTGTGGAATTCATCCAGTGTTTCTTGGCCATGGGTTCAGATCATAAAGAAGTCATTGATGTAGCATAAGTAGAGGAGGAGTAAAAGGGGGCAGGATGTGAGGAAACGGTGTTCTATATCAGCCACAAAGATGTTAGCATACTGTAGGGCCTCCAACTTCTGCATTCATTGTGCCAGAGTGGGGAACAGCCTTGACAGGAAGCTTGGCCAAGTCCCACATATGAGGAGGGGAAAGAGGAAGTGGAAGGCTCCCAATGTCAATGCTGGGCTGTCAGGCTCAGGCTTGAGCCCTGGCTAGGGCTGTCAGACCTACACCAGGGAAGAAAAACTCAGGCAAGTCCCCTGGGGAGAGGGGGAAGAGACACTTTGGCTGTGAACCCTGGGTTGTCAGTGGGACTCAGGCTTTAGTCCCAGCCCCGGGTAGCAGGGCTCAGGCGAATCCCATGCAGTGCCATATTTTCTTTTTGGGAAATATAGTCACCCTATCCATTTTAAGATCCTGGTTTTAGTTGCTTATAACTTTTCCAAATGGTAAGCATTCAGGCTACAATGTTCCGTGCTGGGTGTCCACTTCAGGATGAAGCTTTTGTAAAATTTTAGCAAAAGTGGTTGAGTCACAACCATGAGAATAAAGTCCAGGGTAAAATATGTGGCTTTGCCAATGTTAAAACAAATTCTTATAACAGGCAACTCCATGCTTTGGAGCAGGGACTTGAAATTCGGCAAGCGTATCACCCTGGTTTCAAGGGTGCAGGTTCTGCTGTTCTCACGGAAAAATCTCCTAAATTTGACTAATTTATATATATAAAAAAAGTATACAATCATGTAATTATGCAATTTCCTGGGGAGGGAGGAAATAGGAAGTTTGAGAGGGCCCACAAAATGACAGTAAGGCAGCCAAGCCAAATTTGAATGAAGAGGTGTTACCACTTTGGGCACGATCATGTCAAGTCTGAGGTGAGCTGCCAAGCTGAGAGCCCCAAGGAAATAATAAGATTACAAATAGTGTTCACACTAGTGACAGAGCTAGAGAAGGAAGAGGCAAAACCTAACAATGCAGAAAAGAGCACTCCCATCCTTGTGAGGAAGGCAGAAACCACACAGTCCTATGGCCTTGCTGACAGCCCTCCTCCCTCCTTAAACTCTTTCATTTCCATGGTAATTTTTAAAAATTCAGATGGATGTGTCAGCTTCAGATTTTGAACTGGACTACAAAAGTCTACTCTGCAGCCTTGAATAACGTAAAAGAAGGGATGCATACATTGGAATAGAATTAGATGGAACAGGCAACCTTAATTCTGGGATCTTCTAACTTAACATATTTGACTTGTGATATTTTGGATGAACAAAGTGCTTGTTTTTATTCTCTACATTCTCTGACCAAGACTGATCAGTGAACACTTCTTCTATTAAATGCTGTAAGTGGAAAGTGCACTAGATAAACATCTCCAGAAATCTCGGTAACTCAACTAAATCAGCATCTAAAAGGACTATTTGAACAGCATCATAGAAAACATTACAAGAATAAAATGTGCCTTTCACAGCCATCCTGAACACTACTCTTCTATCATGTGCGTCATTGACAATTAAAAAAAGAGAACATGAATTTATTTAAATTTATTTTTACCTTCCAAGTTTTTGCCCTTCTCCACTGAAAGCTTTGAATTTCAATCTAGGCTTTACATATTCCTGTTCTTGGTGGTCTTCCATATCCAAGTTAACTTGGCCACCATGCACCAGTCGTTGAAGTTCCAAAGGAATCTCTCTTAAACACAAAAAACAAACCATTTTAGCTGTCTCCTTAAAGTACCCAGTAGAAATTCTCAATTACAATACACTAAAATATTGCAGTATGGACCCTACAAAAATCTAAACAATTTACTGCATATTTGAGAAAGACTGTCTGTGTGTCTGTTCAAGAACTCCGCCTAAACTTTAAGATCTAGGTCCACCAAATTCAGTACAGGCAGTCCCCGGGTTACGCAGATCCGACTTAAGTCGGATCCGTACTTACGAACGGGGCTTTTCTCGCCCCGGAGGACGCGGGCGGCGGGACCAGAGAGACGCGGA